CTTCTCCAATACAATCTTTTCCATTCTCATCGAGTCTGAAACTGTGAACCTTTATTCACTTATTTGGAACACATCAGTCGCCAATGGGACATTCCTTTCCTCTTCTATTGATTTTACAGCCAAATAGAAGCAGCTCAGTCCAACACATCCAAGGTGCTTGGACTGTACTTTCATTTAACACAGGAATCTGTCCAGTAAATTCACAGAGAAAATGCCTTTATGTTAAAGTCAAAGAACTGAGTTAGACTAGCATCTTGTACTTCAAAGTCCTGTAGCCTTGCAATCGTTCTGAGGCTATTGTCTATCATGTGCAAATTCAATTGTCTCAAGCCAGAGATCTTTAACTGACATCCAGACTTCTGTTCCAACAGGGCATTCAGCTGGTGTAGCAGTTTCTGAGAGTCAGGTGTCAGTACCTCTATCATCTTGATAGTGACTGGGGCTCAGTGGTAACCACCCTTCTTGGGCCTGCCCTCATCTCACCTCACGAAATCCAATCTCAGAGGCCTAGGAAACAAAGCAAAGGGAGAGGCCCAGGGAGCGGAAGCCTTCCTGGGTGGATGTCTCTGCAGAGCCACCAAGATCATATTGCCCTCATCAGGGTCAGCTTGGAGCTGAAGGGCTGAAAAGGCATTTTGATATTTGATTGTGTATTATTTCATACTGTTATTTCAGAGTTTTGTGTGCACATACTGTTTCTTCAGTAAGTCTAATGCTTTATAAGCATAGTAACCACATCTGACATTTCCATGTCTCGCACATTGTGTGCTTGGACAGCTCTGCCTGGAATATTCTTCCCCTGGTTGCCCACATGTCTAATATAGTGCTTTGTCTTGTGTCAAAACCTAATGCATATTTGTTGAATATTTAACACGTGCTGATTTTAGGTTAGTAAATGTCTTTTCAATAATTGATGATTTTTGTTATACCTAGAGATTGAACACTTTGAAAGCAGCCTTAGAAAATGCATTTCAATTATTCTTTTTCACCCCCTTCTTCTGTGCCCAGGACAAAACTCTACATGGATTAAGGACTTGGTAAATATTACAGATGAAGCAACAGGCAGATTTCAGGCACACATAAGCAAATTGAATTTTTAAACCCTCAATCAGGACATGTGGTTTAATTTTGGAGCATTTTATGTATATGCCAAACAGTCTGAGAAATGTAGCTTGAATTGAAATATATTAGAATACATGAAGACTAATAGAGACAGTAGGAAAATATGTTTGTCATCAGAACTGTTTCAGAAATCCAAAACACCAACCTACCTATTCCACCACTTCAGGTGATCCAAAAAGACTGGGAGTAAACATGTTTCAAGTGGTTCAATGTGTTGTAATTTATATCTATGCATTTCAGATATTAATTGAAACAAAGGTGGGTTAAACTATTGAATTGTTATTCTGTCTTATAAACACATTTAAACAATACTTTTCTACGTGTATTATTATATCCTTTTCTGATATTTTTCAAGGATCTATTTTATAGATGATTGCTATGGTCTTCCTTATATTAATTATACAAATTTGTTTGTAGATCTAACAACCAAGATTTGATGGCACCAAATTTTTCTTCATATAACAGTTATCTTAGCCTTCTCAGCTATTCTTCAATAACCTGGTGTAAACCATTTACCATTTCAGAGTTTTGCAATAGAGGATAAATATAGCAATATGTTATATATTATTTTCAAAATTGTATTTTAATTGCTTTACTGGGACAATTATTGGTAACTTTGAAAAAGAGTTAAAAAAATCAGACATTAACAAATGCTCCAGGATTTCCATAGTTTCATACTAGCTGGTACTGCCCTAGCCAATCCTTGTTACCTCTTATTTGAACTATGGCAACAGCTTCCTAATGAGTCCCTTGCATTTAGTCTCTCATTGTTCTAGTACATTCTATATTGCGTGTTCTATTTATCTTTATGAAGAAAATTTTGACCAGGTTGTTTTTGTCTTCAAAGGTTTTAGTAGTACCTATTTGTTACTAAATTTGGAACAAATCTTAGCCTCTTGTGCAAAGCTCAATATCCATCCTTCCTTCCTTTGTCCCTCTCTCCCTCCCTCCCTTCCTTCTTTCTTTCTTTCTTTTTTTTTTTTTTTTTTTTTTTTGGAGACAGAGTCTCGCTTTGTCACCCAGGCTGGAGTGCAGTGGCTCCAGCTAGGCTCACTGCAAGCTCCTCCTCCCAAGTTCATTTAGGTCATTCTCCTGCCTCAGCCTCCCGAGTAAGTGGGACTACAAGCACCCTTCACCACGCCCGGCTAATTTTTTGTATTTTTAGTAGAGATGCGGTTTTACCATTTTAGCCAGGATGGTCTCGATCTCCTGACCTCATGATCCACCTGCCTCAGCCTCGCAAAGTGGCTAGGAGCCACCACGCCCCTTCCTCCCCTTCCCTCTCTCTTTCCTTTCTTCTAAAATCTGGTAATGTCTTCATTTCTCCCTCACTTTTGAAGGACAGTTCTGCTGGATAGAGCATTCTTGATTGTCAGATTTTTTTGTTCTTTCAGTACTTTAAATATATCAGCTCAATGCTTTCTGTTCTCCAAAGTTACTGATGAGAAATCTGCTGATAATCTTATTGGGGATCCCTTGTATGTATGAGTCACTTCTGTCTTGCTGCTTTCAAGATTCTTATTTTGTCTTTGGCTTTCTACAATTTGATTATAGTGTGTCTTAGTGTGGGTCTCTTTGAATTCATTCTCTCAGAGTCTGTTGAGCTTCTTGGATCTTTTTATTCATATCTTTCTTCAAATGTGGGAAGTTTTCAGCCATTATTTCTTCAAATAATCTCTCTTCTCCTTCTGAGACTCCCACAATGCATGTGTTGAACACTTGATGGTGTTCCTAAGGCTCTATTCAATTTTCTTTACTGTTTTTTGTTGTTGTTCTGCAGACTGAATAATTTCAACTGTCCTGTCTTCCAGTTTGCTTTTTTTTTTTCTACATGCCTGAATTGGTCTTTGAATCCTCCTATAAAATATTCATTTCAGTTATTGTAATTTTCAGCTCCAGTTTTTTAAGGTTTTCTATCTTTTTATTGATATTTCTACTTTGTTTTGGTTTTTTATTTTCTCCACATCTTCCTTTATTTTCTTGAGCATCTGTAAAACCATTGTTTTAAAGTCTGTGTTTAGTAGGTCTGTCATGTGGTCTTTTTCAGGGATGATTTTAGTTGGTTTATTTTCCCTCTCCTTTGAGTGAGCCATATTTTCCTGTTTCTTTGTATGATTTTTGATTTTTCTGGTTGATAACTAGACATTTGAATCTTATCACATGGTTACTCTGGGAACCAGATTCTCTGGGTTTGCTATGTTTGTTTTATTGTTGTTGTTGTAGGATGTTTGTGTTGAGGATCAGCTTGAGATGTAAATTTATGGTCTTCTTAGGTCTTTTATGAGCCTGTGCCTTTCCCTGGGCATGTATGGCAACTTTCTAAATTTTCCTGTATATTTAATTGCTTTTATGTGTCTTTTTCCTTAAGTGTCTCACTACCCAAAGGAGAAAAAGAGAAAAATAAATAAATAAATAAGGCACTGGCTCTAAATCTCCTGGAAGCCACTTCAGCCAGAGAGAGGGCCTGCAAAAATGGGGTGTGTGTGTGTGTGTGTGTGTGTATACACAACAATAGCTGCTTGCCTTTGTGTTTGTACCTCCATGATCAGAAGCAGCAATTAGTGATCAGAACACAGATCTCATATATTTGAAAGACAAAGTCATTATTGTCCACCCTGTTCCCATATGCTGCCTGCAAGCTGCTTTAGGAACACAGACATGGTAGCCTGTCACAGGGACAGGGGATGAGGAATTGGTAACCACTATTGAGCTAAGAGTTAAAATGAACTGAAATTAACTGTAAGTTACCTTCCAAGCATTCCTCTGGAAGTTGCAAGCACTAGAGCTCCAAAATAGCAATATCAGACAGATTTCAACTGTGCAATTGTTATCTAGGTGGGGGAGAAAAATTCCCTGCTCTGCTATCTTCCTAGGATCCCCCTACCTCTAAATTAAATTTTTTTGAGATGGAGTCTCCCTCTTGTTGCCTAGGATGGAGTACAATGGCGTGATCTCTGCTCACCACAACCTCCGCCTCCCAAGATCAAGCGATTCTCCCGCCTCAGCCTCTCGAGTAGCTGGGATTATAGGCACGCACCCAGCTAATTTTGTATTTTTAGTAGAGACGGGGTTTCTCCATGTTGGTCAGGCTGGTCTCAAACTCCTGACCTCAGGCGATCCACCCACCTTGGCCTCCCAAAGTGTTGGATTACTGGCATGAGCCACCACACCTGGCCCCTGCAAAGTTTTTTTTTTTTTTTTTTTTTTTTTGAGACAGGGTTCAGGGTTTTGCTCTGTTGCCCACGTTGGAATGCAGTGAAACTTACTGTAGCCTCAAACTCCCAAGTTCAAGCAGTCCTCCCACCGCAGCCTCCCAAATATCTGAGACTACAGGCACACACCACTATGCCTGGCAATTTTTTTTTTTTTTTTTCATTTTTTTGTAGCGAGACGGTCTTACTTTGTTGCCCAGGCTGGTCTCAAACTCCTAGGATCAAGCAATCCTTCCTCCTTCTACTCCTAAAGTGCTGGAATTACAGGCATGAGCAACCACACCCACCCCAAAATATTTTTTAACGCCTCTCTTCTGTTAGACATAAGTTTAGTAAACAAGATATGTAAGTCATTGACCCATGATATCCACAGGATGCTGCAGACATTATAAGATGAACAGATAAGCGAAAATATGATTATAGATTACGATAAATGCTATGAAGAAAAAGTATGTGATCTGGTATCTTATCCTACAGTAGATTGCTACAACCAATGGGCTTCCTCTGAACTCCTTTCTTGTCTTAATCCTTCTCTTCTAATTATTGTTATTTAGAATTTATTTTTGCATATATCAAATAAGAAGTTTAGGCAACTATCATTCAGGATTTTCTTAAAAGCTAAGATTGATTTACAAAGATTTTCTTCCTCCAATAAACATATATCAGATTTGGCCAGACCCCAGTACAAGAAAGACTCAGCTGCTTGGCCAAGAACAACTCTATCTACGTTGTGGCAAATATTGGGGACAAGAAGCCATGCAATACCGGTGATCCTCAGTGTCCCCCTGATGGCCGTTACCAATACAACACTGATGTGGTATTTGATTCTCAAGGAAAACTGGTGGCACGCTACCATAAGGTAAAATTAATTTGCAAATAATCCAATTAGTTAATATCTAAGGAAATAAAGCGGGCAAGGAGAAAAATACATTATTGATAATGATAAGCATACTTTAGAAATCGAGTAGAGGCAAAGCGTAGAAAGTAATGATAAAGTGTGGAAAGCTCCTATAAAGAGGCTTAAGGGGTTCCGTGTGCATGTAAGAACACAGGATTGTGTTTTTAGGAGTGTGTAGGAGTCAGAAAGTGCTACATGCATTATGTTGCACAGTGTTGCCTTTTGGACTTTGTCTTTTTAAAGACATACCCTGGCAATGGGTCTAGACTAGAATGAAAAACTGCTTACCACATAAACTCTGTCTTGAGGAGAATGGAGCAAACAAAGTTCCTTGTCAAGGAAAACAGTTAAGTATACTTGGCAAATAGAAGTAATCTATTTTACTCCCATGTCTTATAAGACTCCAAAGGGTCTTTATAGATAAAGATACCCATGTACATATCTGTAATGTGGAGACTGAACCAAAGGCTCAGTTTAGCCGGAATGGCCTCTGGTTCTCTAAAGCAAACTCTTTTCCCATGAAAACAGTGATCATAGATTAAATTGGCACTAAGATGTGAGCTTGCACTTTTTCCGACACTGTGATGTCCAGATCAACTTCCTAAAAGAATTTTTTTCTCTTTATCTTCTGTTTGTTGCAGCAAAACCTTTTCATGGGTGAAGAGCAATTCAATGTTCCCAAGGAGCCTGAGATCGTGACTTTCAATACCAGCTTTGGAAATTTTGGCATTTTCACATGCTTTGATATACTCTTCCATGATCCTGCTGTTACCTTGGTGAAAGATTTCCACGTGGACACCATACTATTCCCAACAGCTTGGATGAATGTTTTGCCACATTTGTCAGCTGTTGAATTCCATTCGGCTTGGGCTATGGGCATGAGGGTCAATTTCCTTGCATCCAACATACATTACCCCTCAAAGAAAATGACAGGTAATGTGTGATCTTAAAAGATATGCAGGCTGATGTAATCAGAAAAGAAAAAAAAAACCATGTTTTTCTAGCTAATGCATACTCCTTAATACAATGTTTTCCAGCTCTTAATTTTTGAACATCTAGTTGTTAATATGCTATAGAATCAATCTCAGTCTAAATTGTTTTGTAGATTTATTTGGTTTTATTTATCTTGATTTTTTTTTCCAAAATATATGACTTCTTACATACATCTCTCCTTTCTTGGCTTCTTGGTGTCATACCTTAACTGATTTCCTCTCACTTCTCTGTCTTTATCAGCATGTTTTACTGAAATTAATAAAACATATAACTTAGAGGGAGTAAAATGTGAATATGAGTTTAAAATAGTAATAACAATCATGAAATCCCTTTTTACTTTCCCATTTCACATGATATTTTCAACTTATTACTTCCAGGAAGTGGCATCTATGCACCCAATTCTTCAAGAGCATTTCATTATGATATGAAGACAGAAGAGGGAAGACTCCTCCTCTCACAGCTGGAATCCCACCCATCCCGCTCTGCAGTTGTGAACTGGACTTCCTATGCCAGCAGCATAGAACCGCCCTCGTCAGGAAACCAGGAATTTAAGGGCACTGTCTTTTTCGATGAATTCACTTTCGTGAAGCTCGAAGGGGTTGCAGGAAATTACACAGTTTGTCAGAAAGATCTCTGCTGTCATCTAAGCTACAAGATGTCTGACAACCTAGCAGATGAAGTGTATGCCCTAGGGGCATTTGATGGACTGCACACTGTGGAAGGGCGCTATTATCTACAGGTAATATTTTGTTGTCAGAAGAGTTACTGGACAAAATAAAGACACTCAGTTAAATATACATTTTAGATAAATAATGAATGATTTTTTAGCATATGCATATCCCGCTTTTGGGGATTTATGCATCCTAAAACTTTTGTTGTTTACCTGAAATTAAACTTAAGCTGGGAAGCCTATAAATATAGGCTAAATTTATTTGCTACATCTTTTTTTTTTTTTTTTTTTTTTTTTTTGAGACAGAGTCTCACTCTGTTGCCCAAGCTGGAGTGCAGTGGCACACAATTCTCATGACTCAGCCTCCCAAGTAGCTGGGACTATAGGCAAGCGCCACCGTGCCTGGCTAATTTTTTTTTTTTTTTTTTTGTATTTTAGTAGAGACTGGGTTTCACCATATTGGCCAGGGTGGTCTTGAACTCCCTGAGCTCAGGCGATCCGGCCACCTTAGCCTCCCAAAGTATTGAGATTACAGGGATGAGCCACCAAGCCTGGCCTATTTGCTAAATCTTGAAATCTTAGATGTCAGTTAGATGTCAGTTCGATTTTAAGCTGATTGGGGAAAGGCAGAACATTTACTTGCAGTAGCAGTATTAAAACTAAATATTTAAATTACAGATAATTATAACAGTTCATTGAAAACCTGTTTTATTTCCTCCTGAACAAATTAAACCATTTTCCCTACATGTTCACAAATGCCTATCTTGCATTATAAAGAGTTTGACGCTAAGTATATCCTGGACATGGATGGAGTTGACCACCAAGATTGTTCAATGGAATGATTTATTGCTGCAAAGATCCAATCTCTCATGCTCACAAGTGGCCTCCATGGTCCTCTAATTCTACTCTTCTCTTCCTTGGTCTGGCCCTCATCTTATCTCACTTAACAGAGCTTCCTGTTGACAGTCTGACAATCTCAGCTCCATCCAGTCAGTTCCCTACACTGTAGTTACAGAAATCACAAAAAGCTGTTTTTGATTATAATACTGTCTGGCTTAAAATTCTTCACTGACTTCTAATTGACAAATCAAATTTCTTAACATGAAAGATATACGAAGTCTAGATGTGTGGTCCCTTCCTATTCTCCATCCTCTAATTTCACTTCTACTTACATATATCCTGATCTTCTGCATTATTGAGATATTTTCCTATTTCCTATTTGCTAGCACCTGCAGAACCTCGAGGTGTTTGCACAGATTGTTTGGTCCTTTATCCATGGCGAGCCCCACCTACTCATTTTCATAGCACTTTTCAGGTGTTATCTTCACCAAGGAGCCTGCCTGGATATTTCCCAAGGAGCTACTCCTACCTCCCCAGCTGAGTTAAGTACCTCCTTTGTGTGCTCCCAGAGCACCATATGCTTAGCTTTATCAAAGACATACTATGTCATAGTATTCACATACTTATTTGAGACTGAGAACCCCTTGAGTGCTGAAATTATGCCAACTGCACAGTATTTTGTTTGCTCTATGATAACTACTCTATCAATACTTGTTCATTTTAGCAAGTGAAGGCCTACTATATGCCAGGTATTTATTTAGTGTTAATGATATGAAGATAAATAAGCATAAATTCTCCTCTTGAGGAATTAGTAATGGAGAAAGACATTAGAACAGATAGTTTCAGCATAGGTTGGCATGTGATAGTCAGTAGAATGCACATTTTGCTGCAGGAGTACTAACGAGCTCCACTTAGATTAATTTGGGAATGCAGGGAAGTTTCTGGAGCTGATGCTATTATCCAGGTGAAAAAGAGGAGGAGGGGATTCTTTGTGGTGTGAAGAGCATGAACAAGGGTGTGGATGCAGGCAGGAGCAGGGTCTGCAGGGAAAATCAAGCAGGTCAGTGCTACTAAGGCATAGCTCGAGAAGCTGGGGTTGGTGGGAAATAAGCCTGGGGGCAACATCCTGTCCTGCAGGATCTTACCGAGCACACTTAAGTTTCAACCTTTATTCTGCGGGTGATGGTCAGCTGGTGGAAGTGGTCCAGTGAGGGAATGATGTGGTCAGATCTGCCTTTGAGTGTATCATTTTTACTACTCTGTAGATAATGGAACAAAGACCCAAAAGACTAGATTATTAAAATAGTCTTATTAAGGGTCTGGACCAAGATTGTGTTTGTCGGAATAAAAGCAAAGCATGGAGTCTAGAAATATTTAGAAAACGGAACTCAATGGCTAATTTGATGTGGAACAGGAAAGCAGAATGAAGAGTCCAGAATGTGGCAGGTTTCTGGCAAGAATGGCTGGGTGCGTGAGATGCCTCTGACAGATTAGGAGGCAAGAGAGGAGCAGACTGGTTGATAGTGGGTAGAGGCTGAGTTCAGTTATAAATACGATGGTTTTGAAGTAGTTATGAGACATTCAGCTGGACCCAGCCAGTTGGCTGTTGAATACTTCAGTGTGATGCTTAACGGAGGTACTAGAATTTGAAATATTGTTTCGAGAATCAGCAAGATACAAGGGGCGATTAAGCACACAAGAGTGAATGACACTGCAAAGGAGACTGTACTGACAATAAAGAACTATTGACAAGGTAGAACCTTTAGGAGCTTCAGTATTTGGGGCAGGAAAGGACAGAGGACAAGAAACCTGCAAATACAATTGAGAAATAAAAGATAATTTAAAAAGAGAACATCTGGTAGATGCAAGGAAGTAGAGATTCTTGGAAGAAGGAAATCGGGAGGTGTATTAATGCAATACGTTGACCATTATTAGCATTTTTGAGTATAATTTTGGCAGAATTTTCTGAGCTCGTAATGATAGGATGATGGGCAGATTATATTGGGTTGAAAAGTCAAAGGGGAAGTGAACGCATTTTTTTCCCCAAGAAGTCTTATCTGAGACAAGAAGAAGAGAAGCAAGACAAGGGCTTAACAGAGACTCATGGTCAGGAGAAATTGTGTGTGTGTGTGTGTGTGTGTGTGTGTGTGTGTGTGTGTGTATGTTTCTCAACAAATGAGAGAGCCTTGATTGCCTTTGTAGGTCTAGGAGAAAGAGCTACAAAAGAAAAAATATATAAAATATGAGAGGAATCAGGCCAGGTGCGGTGGCCTGTAATCCCAGCACTTTAGGAGGTCAAGGCGGGCAGATCACCTGAGATCAGGAGTTCGTGACCAGCCTGTCCAACATGGTGAAACCCTGTCTCTACTAAAAATACAAAAATTAGCCAGGCATAGTGGCAGGCACCTGCAATCCCAGCTACTTGGGAGGTCGAGGTGGGAGAATTGCTTGATCCTGGGAGACGGAGGTTGCAGTGAGATGAAATTGTGCCACTGCACTCCAGCCTAGGCAAAAGAGTGAGACTCTGTCTCAAAATAAAATAAAATAAAATAATAAAATAAAATAAAATAAAATAAAATAAAAAAGGAGGAATCAATACTTCTACTCAGTGTTCCAAGGTGCTGGAAGAAAGGGGGAAAAGTAGTATCATGAACACAGGTACAAAATGTCCAACAAGTGGAAATTAAATGAATTATATGATATATTATATGGTATATTAACATATGTAGCCTTATATATGTGACATACATGTGGTATTACATTGCTATGTAAATTTTTATAATTGAAGTATAAATTGTGATGTATTATTTTTAAGTTAAAAAAGGTTGGTCACAAAACAAGAGGGTAATCTCTTAGCTCTTCTTCCCTCCTTTTCCTTCCTGCCTCCTCTACCTTTTCCTACCTTTTTGCCTCCCCCAGAGTCTTGACTCTACCTAAAGAGAGTTGTGGGAAGTTCTTTCTTAGTGTTGTGAGCTTTGTCAAGTAAAACCAAGCTTTCTATTTATCTTGCTAGATGGTGATATTCTATTTAAACAATTGGTACCAGTTATGTTTTGGAATCTTTCTATTTAAGGATAATAATACATATTACTTGATATTACCAGAAGAGTCTAGGAAAATACCCAGAATCAAGCATATTAATATATCTATTGGAAAACATGGGACTATTCACCTTAAATAGCTTGAATAAAAATGTTATAGCCTTATGTTAATTCAAGTTAGGTCTTAATGCCAATGTGCCAGTGGGTTACAAAAATCCTTTGTTTTCAGAGGATTTTGGATTTTGGTATTGAAGATAAGGAATTTTAGTATAATATTATATTTATAATTTTTCATTGTCTAACTATGATGATATATTATGCTTGAAAAATCTTGATTATCACCAAAAGCCACTTCCAATCCAAGTGAAGAGAAATAAAGAGAGGTAAAAGTGAAATAAACCCCTATCTTGCCACACAGATTTTCTAAGCATTCTATAGTGAATATGTATAATTTTGTTTATATCAATATGTCATTGCAAGCTTATTGCTTTTACATTTTTTCTTTGTTTTTCCTAAAGTTGTAAAATTGCCTTATTTTTTAAAATTTAGTTAATTTTCTTTGACTTTTTGTTAAAACCCCATATCTTCCAACAGCATCTCAGAATAATTTTCCCACAATATCATTTTCATAAGATTATCTCAAGCTAAAAATAATAACCTTTCTCTGCACTGGTTTCCCTCTAGTCTTTCTGCACAGCTGTCATATTGAGATTTCCTTTACTGTCATCCTAGGAATGCTCTCTTAGCTATTTCCTTGCTTTGGGTTCTCTGTTTTTCTCCTTCTACCTTTATTTGCTCCTTTCTTCTGTTGGAGTCAACGCTGTCTAGTTACGTTGCTCTAATCTGAACTGGCTGCTCTCCATGCCTTGTACATGATAGGAGTCATCCTGGAATCTCCCTTTATCCTCGCGGTGAAGATTTTTTTTTACCACTTCCCGGTGTGGATTTCCTGTTTTCTGTTCCCTGTCTTCCTTGTTTTGGGCTTGTGCCCTCTTTCTTGTTAACAGTTTCCAGAAAGAGAGTGATTGGGATGCAAGATTTTTGAGATTTACCAGTCTGAAAGTGCCTTTCCTCTTAAATTTAGTTAAGTATTTCCCTGGGCATGGAATTCAAAGGTGGTTATAACTTTTCTTCAGGATTGTGAATGTATTATATCCTCACATCTTATGTTGCTATTGAGAATTCTGAAGTTCTTCTGATTCTTGATTCTCTGTATGTGTATTCCTGATTCTGCACCTTCCCCAGAATGCATGCAGAGTTTCTTCCTTTCCATTTTCTTTTTCTCTTTTTCTGAAACTCTTATTATTGGGATCTTTTGCCTCTTGGATTGGTGCTCTAATTTTCCGACATTTTCTCTGCTATTTTTTACTACTTTATTTTTTCCCTGTACTTTCTGAGAGATTTCCTCCTCTTGATCTTCCAAATCTTGTACTGAATCTTTTATTTTTGTTAACATGTTTATAATTTCCAAGAACTCTTTTTTCTTGTCTTCTGAGTTTTACTTTTTCTTCAACACTTGTTGTTTTGTGCATGTATTATTTTTTCTTCTCTCTCTGAGGCTATTTAGAAAACTTTTTATTGAGGCTCCTTCCCCCTGCTTCCTTTAAGTTGCTTTTATCTGCTTTTTTATTTGTTTTTTCATGCAATAAGTTTTTCTCACATATCTGGTAATTCTTGGGGATTAACAAAAACTCACAGAAAATTCTGAGCATGTGAGTAACACTTGCAAATTTTGAGCTTCATGATAGAATGACCTAGCTGGACCTTTTGCTGGGGGGAAATCTAAGGTAAGTGTCTTTAGTGACTTCCTCTTGGGATGGTCATGTCTCGCAGTTTTCAAGATTCTTCTAATTTCCTTCTTGAATCAGTTGTCTAGTTTAGGAAATAAAAATACAGGATCTCCAGGTAAATTTGAAGTTCAGATAAGCTTTTTTTTTTTTTTTTTTTTTTTTTTGGTTGAGACACTCTCTCTCTGTTGCCAAGGCTGGAGTGCAATGGCACGATCTCCACTCACTGCAACCTCTGCCTTCTGGGTTCAAACAATTCTCCTGCCTCAACGTCCCAAGTAGCTGGGATTAGAGGTGCATGCCACCACACCCAGCTAATTTTTTATATGTCTGGTACAGATGGGGTTTCACCGTGTTGGCCAGGCTGGTCTGGAACTCTTGACCTCAAGTGATCCACCTGCCTCGGCCTCCCAAAGTGCTGGGATTACAGGTGGGAGTCACTGCTCGCAGCCCAGATAAACTTTTTTTTTTTTTTTTTTAAAGTGTAAGAATGTCCCATTCAATATTTAAGCCATACTTATACTAAAAAATTATTTGTTGTGTATCTGAACTTCAAATTTAACTGGGAGTCTTGCCCTGTGTTTTACCTGGCAACCCTATTCCTGAAAGATAAATCCCTGCTGGCAGCATTAGGGAGCCAAGTGGGGAAAATGGCCTTGCAAGGTGTGGGTGGGGGTTGAGGGGGAACGTTTTCAACATTCAGTATTATTTATTCAGGTAATCCCCTTCAACTGTGTCAAACTTTCATATAAAGAACATCCACTTTACCCCCTCTGGAAACATTGTCAGTTATTTACTGGAGTAGGGGAGGATCAGTTACCCAATTTTTTGGAGGACTTAGTATCCAAGGCATCCTTCACAATTTTCTGCTCATTTTTTTTTTTTCCTTTGACTGCCACAACTTTACTCCTAGCTCTAGGTACAGAGCGGTCCCAGTGATTAAATCTTTGAGTGCTTTGCAGTGTATATAGGGTTGATTCTTGGCTCTTTCTACTGTTAGTTTAGGACTTGGCTTTCTTAGGTCTGCTAAATCAGTTACTACTGTTTCTATCAACATCCTAGTTTTTAAAACTGTGCTGTGGTCTATCCTATTTTCCTATCTTTGTGGGATAAAAAATTAGTGTTCTTTTTGAAGGATTGTAGAAAATAAAATTGAAGCATGTGTTCATTCTACCTTTACCTGAAAGTTACTTCTATCCCATCTTAATACACTTACACTGAAGTGATTACTTTCCACCTGCAAAGTAGAAACAATGAGACCAGTTAGTGGCTACTGCTTTAGTCAAGCAAGAAATGAAGGTGACTTGGAATATGCTGTACAGATGGCATTAAATGAATATGGATCTCCTTTTGGAAACTTTTCATCTACATGGTGAGATGACTCACATACTTAGATTTTATATTCAATAGCTACATATTATAGTGGAAAAAAAACTTAATGGAGAAGTGTTTCAGTTCTTGCACAGATATAGAGGATATGACTTTTCCAGATTACAGGGGTTGCCTCTAGGTCAACTCTGGGGTTCATTACAACTCTGAAGCTCTTTTATTGTGTGAAACAGGCAATAAGATATGATTTACACAGGTGCCTAAATTAAACCTTTAAACACATTTTAAATTCTTGGTAATTAAAATCATTAGTAACTTGAGAATATTGAAGATATAGTTGTTCATGGCTATAGGCCAAGGATCTGATTGCTTTTACGTGGCTAATCTTTTTGACAGTGAATTGCAGGAGGCACTGGGGCTTAAAGTCCTTTATTTTTATTATTAGTTGTATTAATTATTCCGTAATAAACTGGATGACTCTAATGAAGAAGTAACATTATTTTACCAAATAAAGTGGCATAGGCATTTTTCTAGATCAAGAGAGTATTTCAGTTGACTTTCTCATGTTTTTTAAGAGCATCTAGCATTTTATTTAATTATTTAATTCTATTTTTATCTTTAAAATTTACCCTAGCTTTATTGTCATTAATGAATGAAAATTATATATCTTTACAGTGTATGATGTGATATTTTGATATGTGTATACACCATGAAATGATTAAATCAAGTAAATTAACAAATCCCACATGACTTTCTTATGACTTACTGGTTTTCATGACTTCCCTAGATTTGTACCTTGTTGAAGTGTAAAACGACTAATTTAAACACTTGCGGTGACTCAGTTGAAACAGCTTCTACCAGGTTTGAAATGTTCTCCCTCAGTGGCACTTTCAGAACCCAGTATGTCTTTCCTGAGGTGCTGCTGAGTGAAAATCAGCTTGCACCTGGAGAATTTCAGGTAAGAATCTTTGAATATTGCCAATTGTTTCATGTTAGAGGAAGCACTTTTTGGTATAAAACCCTGCTCAAGTGGTTACAAATATCATAAAAATTTCCATTTGGAAAGGGTCAGATTGTCCCTGGGGATCATGAAGGACATTGAGCAGGCTGCATTTCTTGACTGGGAATTCTTAACATAGTAATTAGTGTGTCCTTGAGAATAAAAAGATATATATCTTATTTTGGGGATTATAGGGAGTTTAAGGTCTTCCACGTAGAAAGAAGATTCAATGAGAGCAGTTTCAGAACCAGTCCCACTGGAGCCCATTAGGATACTGGGAAGTGATGGCCTAGGGAAGTTGAAAGGAGTCCCTCTCATCGAGTGAGTCAAGGCTCTGTGTGACGGTAGAAGGAAAAGAGACAAGGAAAAGTTGAAAAAGAGATAATTCGACAGTGGCTGATGTTGGCAAAAAAGCAAAAACGTTTTAAAGTTCAGAAATAATCCCTTGTTGCACATGTGCTCTGCCCAGCCATATTCTTCCGCTGACTTCCTGCAAGTTCTCCTCTCACTCCCTGTTCCTGGTAGAAACCACTGCTGGGGTGAGGGAGGACAATGGAATGATGAGGTGGTTGTAGTGAGCAAGAGACAGGAGATGACAGATGCTCAGTTCAAACCTCTCTTAGTCAATTGCTTCAGACCATTGTGAGGAGCAATTGTGGGAAGCATTTATTTTGTCTGAGAGGACTAGATTTCTCTTCTGTATACTGCCAAATCCACTGGTTTGTGTTTATTAACTCTTACGGCACCTCCACAGGTAAGTAAAGTAGAAGATATTGATTACAGGCATCTCAATAATAAATGAATCAGTGCCAGTTTCATAACTCCAATTTTTCTTGTACTCGGCAACATTTCAAATTTTTCTGATGCAATAGAATTTGGCCAGCATTTTTGTTTCTTCATTCTGTTAGAGTAAATTTTTAAAGTGAGTTATGGGATTGTATAACTTGAATGTAGCCTTTGCCTACTTTTTTGTTTTAATCAGGTGTCAACTGATGGACGCTTGTTTAGTCTGAAGCCAACATCCGGACCTGTCTTAACAGTAACTCTGTTTGGGAGGTTGTATGAGAAAGACTGGGCATCAAATGCTTCATCAGGTCTCATAGCACAAGCAAGAAGAATAATGCTAATAGTTATAGCACCTATTGTATACTCATTAATTTGGTAGAATATTGACATTTTCTGTTTTTTACTTGGGATAATTTAAAAAATGATGGATAAGAAAAGAAAGATTGTTCTGGGTTAATATTGTTCTCTAGTATAAGTGAATTACTGATTTCTCTTTATTTAGACAAACACACACACACACCAGATAATATAAGTTTAATAAATTATCTGTTAATGTAGATTTTATAAAAAACTGTATTTGAACATTGGTCTTTCTTGGAAGGGAGCTAATTATATCAAATAAGTATTACAAATCTTTTATGCAGAAGAAATAAAAACTACGGGTAAAAAACATATCAGAACTATCATAAAATTTACTTACAAGAAGGCTGCTCTTGTTACCACTTTTATTATAATACATATCACTTATTCAGCTCTGTTGAAAATTTCCAAAGATTTTATTTGTTTGCTATTTTAGTTTTTTACCTAAAGAATGCATTTTGATTCTCTTGTGGTTTGAATAATGTCTCCCAAAAATTTACATGTTGAAGTACCTCAGAATGTGATTGTATTTGGAGACAGGGTCTTTAGAGAGGTAACATAAGGTCATTAGGATGGACCCTAATTCAATATGACTGGTGTTCATAAAAGAAGAGGTGAGTAGGGCACAACCGGCTCAAAGGGAGACCATATGAAGACACAAAGGAAAAACAACTCTTTACAAGCTAAGTAGAGAGTCCCTCAGAATAAACCAACTCTGCCAACACCTTGATCTTGGATTTCCAGCCTCCAAAACTGTGAGAAATACATTTCTGTTGTTTAAGTCACCCAGTTCATGGTACTTTGTTAGGCAGCCCTGGCAAACGAATCAAAGACCATTCCTGTTCCTCTCTCCACCGCTACTGTTTTCTACCATAATCTGAAGCTTCAACAAAAGGCTTACCTGGTAAGAATATTCAGCTGGTCTGGGTCCCCAAGACTCCAACAGACACTCTTAGAGAAGGATTGCTGATGGATTGATAGTGAAACCATTAGATCATTGAATTCCTCTGGAATTAGAAAATGAGACAGTCCCATTTTAAGAAATTAGGTATTTAATCTAGCATTATGTGTTCTATTTTAGTAACAGCAGAATCTCTTGACATTACACAATTCAGTGAAACAAAGAACGTCATTTAAGCCAAAACATCTCGCAAAGTGACTAATAGACTCTGAGCACTAATATCATAGTACTCTGATGATGGACAATTACATAGCACCAATAGCAGCCATGCACTGTGCAAAGCATGCCCTTCTGCACAAGAGAGCAAGGCACTTGCAGCAGTGATCTATGCCAGCAAAACATCATTTTGAGACAAACATTTTTGTGGCAGATGTTCTTCCTAAAAAGTACTATATCATCCAAGAAATATTTGAGTAAAATCCCTTGTGCTTTTGGGTGACATTAACCGACATTTGCTTTTTTCCAAGACCTAATAGAAAATAAGAAAACCCATAATGTATTTAGAAACAGGAATCCACAGAGCAAGTCTCCATACTCTCATATAATTTCAATGTAAAACAGAAAACATATTGATGTGTTGGTGATAGGCTTGAATTATTAAAAACTTCAGAAGAATTCTAAATGTTTCTTTTCTGCTCAACATTGACAACTATGGTAGGTTTCCCTTGTGGTGTAATGAATTGCCCCCAAACTAATATCTTAAAACAACAAAGATTTATTACCTTATAGAGTTTCTGAGGGTCAGGATCCGGGACTGGCTTGGTGGAGTTGTTCTGAATTAGGGCCTTTGTAAAGTTGTAGTTAACTTGTCCCCAGGGCTGCCATCATCTCAAGGCTTGGGTAGGGCTGGAAAAAATCTGTTTCTAAGCTCACTCACGGTTGTTGCCAGGCCTCCATTCTGTAGGATGCTAGAAAAACTTTCATAAAATGTCATCTGGCTTCTCCTAGAGCAATGATACTGAGAGAGAAAGCACATGAGAGAAAGAACGAGGGAACTTGGATGTAAGCCACAGTCTTTGAAAACCTAATCACAGAAGTGACATCTCTTCTTTCACACGATATTGGTCACATGGACCAACAATGGCTCAATGTGGAGAGAACAAACAGAGTTGAGAATATCAGGAGGTGGGGCTTCATGGGGGCCATTCTGGATGCTATCACAGTGAATATATGTATTTATATTTACATATGTATATATTGCAATGTAATTTTTAAATAGGATTGTTTTCCTTTTCTTTTTGCTGTATGTGATATGTATTTCAAAATACATTCCCAATAGTCATAACTATTAGAAAAGTACTACACTAAAAAACTTTCTATATGTTGTATAATTAAATTAAATAATGTAATAATCTCTACTTTTGGTCAATAGTAAATTTAACTGTTTGCCTTAACTACAGTTTGTGGTAAAACCATCTCCTTTTAATATACACAAAGGATTTTTTTTTTTTTTTTTGAGACAGAGTTTCACTCTTGTTGCCCAGGCTGGAATGCAATGGCATGATCTCAGCTCACTGCAATCTCCATCTCCTGGGTTCAAGCGATTCTCCTGCCCGAGCCTCCTGAGTAGCTGGGATTACAGGCTGGGATTACAGGCGTGCTCCACCATGCCTGTATTTTTAGTAGAGATGGGGTTTCTCCATGTTGGTCAGGCTGGTCTCGAAATCTGATCTCAGGTGATCCGCCTGTCTAGGCCTCCCAAAGTGCTGGGATTACAGGCGTGAGCCACCATGCTCAGCCCATGGGACTTTTGCGTTCATTTTTCCGAAGCTTACTTTGTAGGGGAACATACATTAAAAAGTAACATAAAATAAACAGCAAAAGTTCCAGAATTATTAATTCATGAAGTACAACCACTAGGAAAAAGGGTCTTAAAAACATTACCCTCTTTACCTAATTGATTCTTTGAAGAAACCAATATTCTTTTTCCTAATAATCTATTTTATATACAATATATATCAAAAGTACATAAATATATATATATATAACAAAAGTGAAAGAAACTGACTCTTAATCACAATGTTCTGAATATCAAGAGGAATACTAAAAAAGTCAACTAGAAAATCAAGTCAACGTCAAAAGCTGTTCTGAAACACATCACTTTGATTTTATACTGAAAGCTGATACCTCGAATTTCCTCTGCTTCGCTGTCCTGGGCGTTGTACTGGGCTGTCCTGGGGTTGTACTGGGCGTGTTCCAAATGGATCACTTTTATTTTTATTTTTTATTAAAAAAAATAATTTCAATGTTTATTTTAGATTCAGGGGGTACATGTGCAGGTTTGTTACATGGGTATATCAGGTAATGCTGAGGTTTGGGGTACAAATGTCACCCAGGTGATAAGCATAACAACCAATAGGTAGTTTTCAGCCCTTTCCCTCTCCCTGTTTCCCAGCTGTAGTAGCCCCCAGTGTCTGCTGTTGCTATCTTTATGTATACCAAATGTTTAGCTTCCCTTTGAAAGTGAGAATATGCAGTATTTGGTTTTCTGTTCCTGCTTTAACTCGCTTAGGATAATGACCTCCAGCTGCATCCATGTTGCTGCAAAATACATGATTTTGTTCTTTTTTATGGCTGTGTAGTATTCTATGGTGTATATGTACCATATTTTCTTTATCTAACCCATCACTGATGGGCAACTATGTTGATTCCATGTCTTTGCTATTGTGAATAGCACTATCATGAACATACGAGCGCACATGTCTTTTAACAATTTCTTCTCCTTTGGGTATATAGTTAGTAATGCGGTTGCTGGATCAGATGGTAGTTCTGTTTTGAATTCTTTGAGAAATCTCCAAACTGCTTTCCACAGTGGCTGAACTAATTTACATTCCCACCAACAGTACAGAGCTCCCTTTTCTCCACAGCCCCAACAGCAGCTGTTATTTTTGACTTTTTAAATAATAGCTATTCTGACTGGTATGAGATGGTATCTCATTGTGGTTTTGATTTGCATTTCTCTGATAATGAGTGATGTTGAGCATTTGTTCATATCTTTCTTGACTACTTGCATGTCTTCTTTTGAGAAGGATCTGTTCATGTCCTTTGCTCATTTTTAATAGAGTTTTTTTTTGTTGTTGTTGATTCAAGTTCCTTATAGATTCTGGATATTAACCTTTATTAGATCTTTGGTCAGATGCAGTTTGCAGGTATTGTCTCCCATTCTGTAGGTTGTCTGTTTACTCTGTTGATAGTTTCTTTTGCTGTGCAGAAGCTCATTAGTTTAATTAGGTTCCATTTGTCAATTTTCTTTTTTGTTGCAATTGCTTTTATGGTCTTAGCCATAAATTATTTTGTAAGGCTGATGCCTAGAATGGCATTTCCTACATTTTCATCTAGATTCCTGTAGTTTCCAGGTCTTATGTTTAAATCTTTAATCCATCTTAACAAAATAACCTACAGATTAGTGCTATTCCTACCAAACTACCAAGGTTATTTTTCACAGAATTAGAAAAACTATTTTATAATTCATGTGAACCAGAAAAGAACCCCCAGAGCCAAAGCAAAAGCGTAAGCAAAAAACAAAACAAACACACAAAAACCAACAAAGGCAGCAGCATCATGTTACCCAACTTCAAACTACAGTAAGTCCACAGTAACTAAAACATCATGGTACTGATACAAAAACAGACACACAGACCAATGGAGCAGAATAGAGAACTCAGAAATAAAGCTGCACACTGATATAGTTTGTATATTTGTCCCCACTCGAATCTCACGTTGAATTGTAATACCCAATGCTGGAGGTGGGGGCCTGGTGGGAGGCATTTGGGTCATGGGGATGCAGCTTTCACAGCTTGGTACTTCTTGGCGATAGTGAGCTCTCACAAGATCTGGTCATTTAAAAGCGTGTGGCAGTCCCCCTACTCTCCCTTGCTCCTGCTTTTTCCATGTGAAGCGCCTGCTCCTGCTTCGTCTTCTGCCATGAGTAAAATCTTCCCAAGGCCTCCCCAGAAGCAGATGCTGGCATGGTGCTTCCTGCACAGTCTGCAGAACCATGAGCCAATAAAACCTCTTTTCATATAAATTACCCAGTCTCTGGCATTTCTTTATAGTAATGCCAAGAACAGTCTAATACACACACCTTCAACCATACAAGTTTTGACCAAGTAGACAAAAATAAGCAATAGCGAAAGGACTCTCTATTCAGTAAATGGTGCTGGGATAACTGGCTAGCCATATGCAGAAGAATGAAACTGGACCCCTACCTTTCACCATAATTTTTGTTTTTGAAAAGATAGTAAAATTCTTAGATGAGGAGAGTATCCTACACTTATAATAATGCTTAGGCAGCATGCTCTAGTGTGCAATGGAATTATTGTTTAAGTACAGAAAATGCAAAAACAAATCTATGTTCTAATAATATTCTTACCTATTTGGGGTTTGTGTAATTTAAATGAAACCTAGTAGATAAAATTACTAAGTAAATATGGGACCCAGTAAATCTAAATATCTGGAGCACTTCAAATATGACGATAATGATAACCCAATCTTAAAATACGAGGAAAACACATATAAATCAATAGTGCTGTATTATAGTGCTGTTACTGTGTATAACATTTTTATCATGGCAACTTATAGACTAAACATAAAGAAAAACTGTACCCTTAAAAATTGAGATCTACAGTGTTTTCTTTTTTCTTTCTTTCTTTTTTTTTTTGTGGTGGAGTCTTGCTCTGTCTCCCAGGCTGGAGTGCAATGGCACGGTCTTGGCTCACTGCAACCTCCGCCTCCTGGGTTCAAACGAGTCTCCTGCCTCAGCCTCCTGAGTAGCTGGGCCTACAGGTGCATGCCACCACACCCAGCTAATTTTTTGTGTTTTTAGTAGAGACAGGGTTTCACTGTGTTAGCCAGGATGGTCTCGATCTCCTGACTTTGTGATCTGCCTGCCTTGGCCTCCCAAAGTGTTGGGATTACAGGCATGAACCATCGTGCCCAGCAGAGATCTGCTATTTATCCAGAGTTCTTAGTGAATCCAAGGAGAGGGTCATGGAAAAGTAACATGGTCTAACGTGAAACAATGATGAGACGGAAGTGGTAAAGAAAAGGGGAGGGGAGAACTAATGAGAGTTCTCCATAATACAATAAAAATCTGGCACTTTCAAATACTAAATATGAAGTTTCTTAAATTGGCAAGGCAGAGGAACATGTGCACACACAGATGTACATGTACTGATGGCCACACACACAGGCCAAAGCATGTTTGGGGAACCACATTTGGACACAGATGCAGACTAAAATGTGAGTCAGCTGTGTTTCTACTTCTAGAAAAGTGCTATGATAGAGGCTGGGTGCGGTAGCTCACACCTATAATCCCAACACTTTGGGAGGCTGAGGTGGGTGGATCAAGAGGTAAGGAGATTGAGACCATCCTGGCTAACATGGTGAAAACCCGTCTCTACTAAAAATACAAAAAAATTAGCTGGGCGTGGTGGCGGGTGCCTGTAGTCCCATCTACTCAAGAGGCTGAGGCAGGAGAACGGTGTGAACCCGGGAGGTGGAGCTTGCAGTGTCACGCTCCAGCCTGGGTGACAGAGCGAGACTCCATCTCTAAAAAAAAAAAAAAAAAAAAAGAAAGAAAGAAAGAAAGGAAAGTGCTATGACAGAAAGGTTTGCTTGGGTGTGGTGCTATCAGACAGGAAACAGACTATATATCCCTTCAAAAGCCAGCCTTCAAAAATGCCCTCATATAGGGAAAAGCATCTGGCTTGTGGTAGAGAGTTGACTTCTGCTCAACAGTGATGTCCAGGTGATAATCTCATTCTCCTCCAGCCTCCAAGCATCTCAGGAGTATCTGTCTGTTATAGTTTTTTTCTATTCATAGCTCAGTACAGTTGATCCTTGAGCAACGCAGGTTTGAACTGCACACATCCACTTATATGTAGATTTTTTCAATAAATATATTGAAAAATATTTTGGAGATCTGTGACAATTTGAAAAATCTTGCAGACAAACCACATAGCCTAGAAATATTGAAAAAATTAAGAAAAAGATAAGTCATGAAAGCATACAATATATGTTATCATTTTATCATTTATTGCCATAAAATATATACAAATCTATTATATAAAGGCAAAATTTATCAGAATACACAGGCACTTACAGACCGTACATAATCCCATTTGCAATGAAGAGAAATGTAAGATGCAGTATTAAGTCATTGTAAAGATTTTATGTGTAAAGATGAAGTATTAAGTCATTACCACATAAAATTTACTGTAGTATTACATACTGTACTACTGTGAAAATGTTATTGCCCCTTCCTGTTGCTACTGTGGTGAGCTCAAGTGTTGCAAGACTCTGCTTCACACCCTGTGACAATAATCGTCTTTGCATGAGCAGTTC